GTTTGTTTGTTTGTTTTTGAGACAGGGTTTCTCTGTGTAGCTTTGGAGCCCATCCTGGCACTGGCTCTGGAGACCAGGCCTGCCTCTGCCTCCCAAGTGCTGGGATTAAAGGCATGCGCCACCAACGCCCGGCCCCTTTTTACTCTTTAAATAGTTGATCCAAGTTGTTTTTTTATATAATACTGTCTCTTTGTGATAGTAGAAATAATTTAATTCAGTATGTGGATTTCTTAATGTGAAAACAGATCTGAGCTGGGACATTAGCAAAAGGTAAAAGTATAAACTAACCAAAATCCGAGTCCACCAGAACAGCCCGAGTCTCAAACATACATATGTATCTAATAACAAGCTTCAAAGTCTCTAATCAGGAACACATAGACGTAGAGAATAACAGGCAGCTCCACAGTCATGACTAGACATTCAACATGGCTTGCTGAGTGACTAGTCATGCAAAGAGGATAAAAAAAAAAACAAAACAGAAAAAAAAAAAAAAAAAAAAAAAAAAAAAAACCCTTCCATCGACCTAGAAAACATTTCTAGAACACCCTATCCATATAGATAATTTATTCACAAATTCTATGCATTGGAATTCTGTGCACTGAAAACTCCATTGAAATTGTGTTCTCTAATTGCAATGGAATTGAGTTAGAAATTAGAAACAATAGATGTGAGGAAAAGAGTTACTTACTCCTGCCACAGAAGCAGGTGGGATAACTGCAGATCCTCCAGATCCACAGCCCTGCAGCTAAACACCCACGGCAGCCTCCCTTCCCCTGATGCACCAATCTCCAGTGGGTCCCAGGATCTTCTCCTCCAACAACCATCAACCATTGCTTTTTTCCAGCCCCCCAGCTCCAAGCAGGCACTCCCTGGGAACACACGGGCCACTCTGCCCAGGGAAACAGGTAGGCTAACTGCAGATCTTCAGCTCTCCCTCTGCTCCTCCAAGTCCAATCCCCCGTCTCACCCCAGCCCTGCAGCAGACGTTCTGCGGTGGGCTCTCCTCACTCTCTGCACTCATTCTCAGGGGACTAAGCAGATCCTGTGGAACAGCCAACATTCCCCCCGTTCTGTGGACCTCTTCACCTTCCCCCAGCCCATCCTTATTCCTAAGTGTCAGCTCCCAATACTTTTGGAAGCACATTTTTACCTGGAGTCTTCAGTAGCCACACCTATCAGGATCCCTGAAGAATTTCCTACCAGGCAATACACAGCCACCACACTCTCCTAAAAACCCGAGAGGAAGCAAAAACCAAGGAACAAAATGGTGGGAGCAAACTTGTACAGCCTCTGCAGAAATCAGTGTGGTGCTTCATCAGGAAAATGAGAATCAATCTACCTCAAGGTCCAGATAGACATACCACTCTTGGGCATATGCCCAAGGATGCTTCCTCCTACCACAAAGACACTTGCTCAACCATCTTCATTCCTGCTCTATTCAACCTAACCAGAAATTGGAAACAATCTAGATGTCTCTCAACAGAATAGGAACAAGTTCCACGAACAATAGCATCCAAATATTTAGGAAAATATTTACAAAAGGTATGAGGTACCTTTTGTAGTGGTGATTATGGAAGTGAAGCCTAGAACAGTGGTTTTGTGAGGTGTAACGATAAGTCTTTCCACCAAGCCGCCCAAGCCCTGCTGTCATGTGCGCGCCCAAACTAACACACTGAGACTTATATTAGGTACAATGCTGCTGGCCAATGATCAGGATTTCTTATATGCTAGCCCAGTCTTAATTATCAACCATAATCATTAATCTATATATTTATAAGGACTTATCTTATTGAGGAGGCCTCCGCATGCGCCCTCTCTTCTCGATCTCACATTGGTGACTCTGTCTCTTTCCTACATTTCCCAGAATCCTCCTCTCTCCTAGTCCCACCTAACTTGCTCCCCAACTGCTAACAGTGCTTTATTCAACAACCAATAAGATAAGCATATACACAGAAGGACCTCCCCCATCAGTGGAGTAAGGGTATTTGCACACCAGTGTTGGGAATGTGAATATGTACAGTTTGGGGGAAATTGTGGAGACTCTGCACAAAACAAGAAGTAGAATTCTTAAATGACCCAGAAGTCTTACTCTCAGGTTCATACTCATGTCATCAAAATTGGTGTTTAAAGGTAACTCTGTTTATAGGCACCCTATAAAGAGGAGGAATTCTATCGTTCATCAACACATAGATGGACCTGGAGGACACCGTGCTAATGAAATAAGCCAGCTATACCAAAGGGAAGGAGTGTAGCATGGTCTATGGAAGTGGTTCTCAACCGTCCTGATGCTGTGACCCTTTAATACAGTTCCTCATGTTGTGGTGACCCTCAGCCACAGAAGTATTTTTGTTGCTACTGTTATTAATCCTAATGCAGTTATCTGATATTTCTGATAGGTGATCCCGATGAAAGGGTTGTTTGACCCCAAAGGGGTCAGACCTAAATGTTGAGAACCACTGATACAAAAATCTCACCACCTCAACCTTGACAGTTTGACTTCAAGGGTAATCAAGCAGTATGTACAAAGTCACTGTTTGGGCTTGTGTTTCTGCCCAACTCTGTCCTGTTCCAAACACACCCCAACACACTGTCTTCTTCCTCCTGGCTGTTCTCTGCAGTGACTATCTTAAATGACTCAGATGTGGGTGATAACTAAAGGTTATGTCCTAACCCTGGGAGTACAGACCATGGATACCTAGGAAAGGGTGCCACAATCTCATTGGCCCCACAGGGGCCATCTACAGCCAACACCCAGTTTTCAAATATCTCCCATGATTCATCAATCCTTCTCTGTAAGAGATCTGTAAGGAGATCTGTAAGGAGAATACTCACCTGGAAAGCTGTTGTGTACTATGCCTCAGGACAGCATTGTGAGCTGCTTCTTGTAATCTTGTTATCTGTGCCAATCAGGGAGAAGCTGAGTCACTGGGAAGAAATCAGATTTTCTTTTTCTTTTTTTTCTTTCTTCAGAAGTGTCTCTCTATTATGTAGCTCTGGCTGTCTTGGAACTTGCTAAGTAGATTGGGCTCTGGCCTCAGAGTCACAGAGATCCACCTGCCTCTACCTCCCAAGTGCTGTGACTAAAGGCATGTGCGACCACACCTGGCTCTAGAAGTTACAGAAGCTTTTTTGCAAGGGGGTGGTTTGAGACAGGGTTTCTCTGTGGCTTTGGAGGCTGTCCTAGAAGTAGTTCTTGTAGACCAGGCTGGTCTTGAACTCACAGAGATCCGCCTGCTTCTGCCTCCTGAGTGCTGGGATTAAAGGTGTGCACCACCACCACCCAGTTTGAAGTTACAGATTCTTAGTAAACTGAATACTTTATTTGGGTACCAGATACCTTACTGAATTATCTTAGGCTTTAAGCAGCACTTCCTTGAAAAGTATGCATCTTCCCACACCCAACACATACACACACAATTTTGTTCGGGGTTGTGTTTTAAGAAATGGACTGAGACAAATGTGAAGAAGTTTGTTCAATGCTATACTGTACTAGAAATCTGAAGGCCAGATGCAGATTGAAATCCTAACTCTTCTTTGTTTTGTTTTGATTTTGGTTTTGGTTTTTTGAGACAGGGTTTCTCTGTGGCTTTGGAGGCTGCCCTGGAACTAGCTCTTGTAGACCAGGCTGGTCTCAAACTCACAGAGATCCACCTGCCTCTGCCTCCCAAGTGCTGGGATTCAAGGTGTGTGCCACTACCGCCCGTCTGAAATCCTAACTCTTGTTATAATTTTGTTTTTGTTTTCGTTTTTCAAGACAGGGTCTCACTACATAGCTCTGGCTGTCCAGGAACTCACTATGTAGACTAGGATAGCCTCAAACTCACAGAGATATGCCTGCCTCTGCCTCCTGAGTGCTGGGATTAAAGGCGTCACTATGCCTGATATATAGATATAGATAGATAAAGATATAGTGAAATTACCAAAATGCACAAATTAAGTTTCAGTGCACAATCAAGTTTTAACACCCTGATGTAAGAAGATGAGGCCATCGTGTGTGTGTGTGTGTGTGTGTGTGTGTGTGTGTGTGTGTGTGTGGGTGTGTGGGTTGGTGTTGTGTGTGTCTCTGTGTGTGTGTGTGTGTGTGTGTGTGTGTGTGTGTGTGTGTGTGTGGTTTTGAGACAGGGTTTCTCTGTGTAGTCCTGGATCTTGTGGAACTCACTCTGTAGCCCAGGCTGGCCTCAATCTCAAGAGATCCACCTGCCTTTGCTTGTGCTGGGATTAAAGTGCATTGCCATGGCCTGGCAACACCATCTATTCATCTATTCCATCATTTCCTGTTCTGGGTTCTCAGCTATGGCCTGGCAGCATAAAGACTATAACAGTGACAAATTCAAGAAGAGGAGGAAGAGGAAGAAAAAGAAGAGGAGGCAGAGAAAGAAAGGAGGAAGAAGAGGAAGAGGAAGAAAAGGTAGAAAGGAGAAGGGGACTCACTACAGCAGCCACCTTCTGAGTCAGCTCCTCCAGGGACGCAAGCTGAAACCCAGGTGTCTTCTAGCTGAGCGGTTGAACGCTGGCTGGGGTGGGGTGGGGGAGGCACACGACACGAACGGTCGGACGGACAGACACGCAGGTGTTCCTGCGACCAGCTCTGTGCTGTGTCCAGTGTGAGCAAATGAAGGTCTATAGGCAGAGAGGGGTAGGTGTCCAGTGAACTTAGTCTTTCCTTGATGGTACAAAAGTGTTCTAAGCGGTATAGAAGCACAGATTTATCTTCTGTTACTAGGATGACAATCATAATAATAGTCAAAATATGAAGGGGTAGGCAGACTACTAAATATTATGAGTTTTTATATTCATGGACATATCCATGACTTGAAAAGTATAATAAAAATGTTCTGATTCTTTAAAAAATGAAAAGGAAAGAAAAGAAAAAAAAGTCGTTCAAGTTTTGTCCTCAGACTATGCTCCCCGGGAATGTGCGCCCAGGTTTCAATGTAGGAAAGCGATTGGATGTGATTTGGCTCCTCCCAGAATGTTGCCCGCCCTGAACGCTATACAAGTTTCTTGGAGCACCGAGCGTGAGCGGAGAAAGTTCTGCCGAGCACGGTGTCGCAGGACAGGAGATCCAGAGAACTTTTCTGGGCTGAGGAAGCATCTTTTCTTCGTGAATTTTGAGAAGCCGCGGGATCCGGGATCATTGAAATCCTAATTCCATGAAGTCTCCGGGACCCAGCGCGCCCGCTGCCTCTGCGGCCTGGGCAGGTCACACCCCCGGTCCCAGCCTACTCCCGGGGCGCAGACCTTGGCCTAGGGGCTCGAAGACCCTCAAGTTTCAAGTTGTTGTCTTTCTGCTACTGGTGAGTATCGTTCGGGCAGGGGAGGGGGGGCTGCCCCATCCTGGAGCAGGAAGCCGGAGAGAAGCGGCGAAAAAGTGCCGCGGAAATTCTGGAGCGCACATGCTGTGGGGCGGGAGGGAGGAGGTCTGACGTGTGCAGGAACACTACTGTGGAGCGGGGAGAACTCGACCGGGAAGGGTGGAAGGTTCGATGGATGGCGGGGTGGGGTGGGTTTTCCAAAGATGGGGTAAGGCAGGGTGGGGTGGAGC